GCCCAGTGCGATCTCAACAGCCCTTAGAAGTGCAGGAGGAAGGCAGGAAACAGCGAAGGGTGAGGGCGGAGGGGGCCGCGACCTGGGGGGAGGTCAGAGTCGCAGTCCCGCTCGCTGTGGAGGTGTAGGGACCGAGATCATCTTGACACTTTGCTGATCCAGGAAGTTCAGAGGATGGGTGATAGAACCATGCTGGCGAAGCTTTTAGGGCTCACAGGTGTGGGATGTGCCAGGGCACCCTAAGGGCAAAGATGTCACGTTGGTGTGCCTCATATGTCCTTCTTTTAAGAAAGCGACCCAGTGGTTGGCAGGCTGCTTAGGACTTTAGGGCAGCACGTGCCTATTTGGGAATACCGCCCACCCCAGTCACGGAGAGATCCAGAAGACTGACAGTTCCAGTAGAGCCCAGAGATTCTTGGCACCAGCAAATATTCAACCTGATCTGCTGCCCATTAAAGCGCCCAGGTCCTCACTCCGTGGGCTCAGGGGCCTGGGCAGACACAGCGGCGATCCCCCAGGTGACAGGAGTGACACACCCAGGAGGCACGGGGACACCCCTGGCCCAGACAGCCACGTCATAGTCTTCTCTCTTCAACCCACACCCACGGCCTCCTTTGAGGGCTGCTGCTGGTGGGAGGGCTTTGTGCACAGACAGCTCAGTCCACATGGTGGCACTAGGTCAGTGTGGCCATACTACAGCTCCTCCAGAGGGCCTGGCGCACAGAAGAGGGGCACACTCCAAGGGGCACTAGGCTGTCCACTTCCCAGGGAGCCTGAGAGCCCGAAGTCAACAGAACTGGACCAGGAAGGCCTGAGGAAACACACACCGTGGACCCTTGTGGGGGCAGGCCCGGGGGTACTGAGCAGTGGTACTCACTCCGTGTCTCACAGTGACACCCCCAGAGAGAGCCCACTGCAGAGGGGCATCAGAGACTCACAGGGGTCTCGTGACCGCCCTATGGACATCAGCCAGCCTCTTCCCTCGGCCACCTGGTGCTCATGTGAAGGCCTGTGAACACAGTGGCCATGGTGGCAGGGACGGCGGGGACACATGGGCCCCATATGAGCCCCTCTTATCAAGGCCATCTAGACCGGATGCTGTCCGAATGAATAACCTTCTTTATACTGAGTTGCCCACTCTGGCTGGTGGTTTGAACAGATCGTCAGAGACTTGGGTGGGGACAAGGTGGCTGGGGAAGATGCGCTCCAGATGGACTTCCTGGACTAGACCCAAAGTATGAAAACCGTTTACCCATGTTGGGCTGACCAGGTGTCCCCACTGCAAAGAGGGCTGTGGGTTAGCAAACGGACAGGAAGGCTTGTTCCCAGGGCTCACAAGCCATGTGGCCGTGGCAGTGGGGTAGGCCACACACATCCTCAGCTCCAGGTACCCAGCCTGAACACAGCAGTCCTACTTGACCCCCTCCATTATGAAGGGGATGCTATTTATTCTGTTTGGAATCAAGGTTCCTACTGGGCTGGCTGTTCATGCCTGACCCATGCCAGGGGCCACCATCCACATGCCCCTACACACCCTCATTTGCAGCCCGGGCACCCACCTCACCTCTGAGCTGAGAACCCCTCATAGGACAGGCAGTGCAGCAGGGCCCAGGTGACCTCACCACACGTCCCACAGACCAGCTGGCACTGGAGAAGAGGGGACTGGCCTGCTGCCATGTAAGGTTGGGGCTGCTCTGGAGAATTCAGTGAGAACCCGATTCCCTCTACAGAGACTGAAATGGCAAGTATCTGTGCCTCCACCTAACAATGACACCATGACCTTGGCTTCTCACCAGGAGTCTCAATTTTGAGAAAGTGGCTCCAGGATGTGGGACAATTAGAAACGATCCTTGGCAGGGCTGCAGTTAGGAGTCCAGCAGTGGTGCCCCTAGTGATGGCAGGGATGCCCTAACCAGACTTGTTCTGGGGCCCGACCTTTTCTATGTCCTGTACCCCTTCTAGGCCTGAATCTCCAGCTACTGGATATCCCTCCCATAAGTTCAATTTCTGCTTAAATCGCATAGGATGTTTCTCCCGTACATAACCCAGGACTCGGATTAATGCACTGGGCACATACACCTTCTATAAAACCACTAGTCAGGACTTCACAGACCCTCTGTGGTCCACCCCACGGGATAAGGTCAGGCTTCTTATGCCGGCCCTTGGTTGGGGGCGGCCACCGACGCAGGAGCTTAAGGCCAGCACTGTGGCCGCGTCAGATCTGCCCAAGCGACTGAAGGCTGGCTGTTCTGTGAAGAACAGACGGGGAGCAAAATGGCAGGCGGGAGGCCGGCGTAGAGCAGGCGGGGTCGGGGGCTAGAAGCGCAGTGTGGGGCGCGGCAGCAGAGAACCCGAAGAGCGGCCTGCGGGGTGGGGGCCTAGACACAGGGTCAGGGGGCTTTGCGTCTGGGTGCGCCGCTGAGTTGGAGGACCCCCAGGAGAGGGCCGGGCTGCAGCGGAACATGGGCTCGCGGTGCAGGAGGGAGGGCACCTAGTGACAAGACACCAACGCAGGATGCACGAGAAGGTGCAGGAGAGCCGTGGAGCGGCGCTGGTGCTGTGAACCGCCCTTCGGTCCCCGGGACGCCCGCCCCCAGGCTGGCTCCTGCTCTCAGAGCGGAGGACGCGGTGGAGGGAGGAGGGCGGCCCCCGACTACCCAGGCGAGGCGGTTGGGCGGGGAAGGGACGCCCCGGAGGCCGCGCCCCTGGGAGGCGGGTCCGCGGCCGCCCCGCTCTCGCCGGGACCGCGCGGCGCCCTGGCGGAGGCAGGGAGGGCCGGCCCTTCCTCGAGCACGCGCGCCGCGAAGGTCCAGGGCCCCGGAGCCCGCTGCCCGCCAGCCTGGCCAGGGAGGGAGGGGAACGGATGCGGGGCGCGCAGGCTCTCACCTGCTGGGGCCTCTGGGCGCTCGTGGTGCTCGGGCCCCTTCGCCTGCGGTCCGGCCTTCCTCTGCGGCGGGCGGCTCTCTCCTGGAGACCCTGGCGGGGGGCGGGATGGTCAGTGTGGTAGGGTTTGGACCCGCCCCATCCACCTCCCCGGGCGTCTGTGCGACCCCAGAAGGGCAGGTGCGTCCCGACCCTTAAGGAGCGGCCATCCGCGGGCCAGCTTTAATGAGCGGGCAGGCCGCGTCCCCCACAGCAAGGACGGACAGCCTCAGCTCCTGGGCGCCACCGGGGGGCGCCCGCAGGCAGGAAAACCCCTGCACCTGCCCGGGTCCTGAAGCCGAGGGCCCTGGTGAGCCCAGGTGTGGTGAAGCCTCTGGGAGGAGAGCCCCCCTGCCCCCACCTGGTGCCACCTCCCTCGCTGAGTCCCTTCTCCCTTTCTGTGGGTCCACCCATGCTCCGCAGATGGTGGCCGGCTGTCTGCCTCTGCTGAGGCCCCAGGGGCAAGGGCTAATGGGGAGAGGGGTGCACGGGGCAGGACTGGGCCCGGCAAACCAGTCCAGCCAGTGTGGCAGAGCTGGCTGGGAAGGGGCCCTGGGTGTGGGTGTGAGTCAGCGGCCTCAGGCTGGGGAAACGCTGGGGAGGAAGCTTCTGGAGCCTCCTCCCGACAGGAAGCCAGGGGACGCTGGCACTCAGGCGTCCACCCCCCAGGTCCTTCCTTGGGGGCCCAAAGGCTGGCCAGGTACGGTCTCTTCAGGCTTTCCTTTCTGTGGCGTGGTAGCAGCACTCCCAACTAGGGCGGCCTCTACAGCCCCTGACACTGCCTCCCAAGGCAGGCTGGACTCTTTTTCCTCTGCTGCCCCACCTGTCTTCAAATGCCACCTCCCACCGATCCCCAGCACAGCCCGCCCTGCAGGAGTACACCACACAGGGGAGTGTGTCCCAGGCAAGCTGAGCCCCTACGGGCTCCCCTGAGCGGCTGGCTGGGAGGCTGGGCTCTCCTGTGGTAGTTGCGCTGGGATTCTCTGGCCTTGTGCAGACGGCCAGTATAGCTGGGAATGCAGCTCCTAGCCTTATGTGCTGGGCTTTGAGTTTCCCGCGCCCTGGGGTGTGTCAGGGAGCCAGGGTAGGATGGGGGGGGCATGGGTGCCCGCCCGGGGCAGGATCAGACTTGTTGCTACACTGAGCCTCGGTCTGGCTGCTGAGAGTCACCTCCTCCAGTTTCTTTCCTTCTCCCTCCCAGTCTGGCCAGTGAGGCCTGTGGCCTGTAAAGTCCTGCGCCCTGTGTCAGCATGTTAGTCAACCTTCGTGCCTGGGTGAGCCACCGCACCGCCGAGTCCCTATAAAGTCCCTGGCGTGGCCCGGCCCAACAAGTGGGGCCCGTGAGGCCCATAAGCAGAGCCAGGTTTCCAGCCAAAGGGCAGGGCAGCAGCACAGGGCCCACTGCGGCCTCCCAGGGAGGACCCCCTCTGAGCCCTGATCGAGGCCAGCAGCCAATGAGCCACGTCCCCCAGGGAGCAGACACCTGGTGAAAGAGGTGCCGGATCGGGGCCATGTCTGGGAAACGAAGTCGAGCTCGAAAACCCCGAGCCAGGAGGGCGGGCAGGGCGCAGCAGCCCATGGGGCAGCAGGGCCCCGAGGCTGAGCCCCCGCCCCCCGCCTCAGAGGGCCCAAAGGATGAGGCGGGGGTGGCCCCTTCAGGGCACGTGACCAGCAGCAAGCTGGATCCCCAGGGACACCCCAGGGTGGCCAGGCCAGAGCAACCGCAGGCAGCCCAGAGGCCAATGCAGGCCGCTGCCCTGGGGTCCGAGGTGGTGCTGGTCCCTGCTGCAGACATGGAAGGCTCCAGGGCAGGGGGCCTCACACCGGACCTGGGCCCTGTGCTGCTGAGGCTCCATGAGGTCCAGCTGTGCCTGGCCCAGGAGCAGCTACTGCTGGAGGACCGGCGAAGGCAGGTCCAGCTGGAGGAGCAGCTGTGGCGGGAGGAGCAGCTGTGGCTGCAGCAGCTGCAGGAGGAGCAGGCCTGGGTGTGCGTGGAGGGGCTTGAACTGGCCATGGCCCTGGAGCAACTCCGGAGTGAAGGCCTTGAGACACTGCAGACCCAAGGCCAGGTAAGGCCTAGCGGGGGACATGGACGGGGGAGGCTCTGGACAATGTTTCTGGGTATGGTAACCATTCAAGCAACCTACAGCTCCCGCGGACGGCCAGGAGGGTGGGAGCCTACTGGACTGTGCTGCAGCCAGGTGGCTGAGGGACACCTGAGGGGGCCCATTTTCACATTTGCAAAATGAGGCTGGCACCCAACACATGGTGCTACAGAAGACTGCGCACCAGCAAGCCCTCTCAGGCTGGCCCAATGCTTGGGTGCCTGGGGAAGGTGCTTGTTAGGGAAACTGAGGCAGAGATGTTCCTGTAGAAGACCCAGGTATCCTGGCAGGTGGACCTGGGTAGGGAGCTGTAGGAGCTGTCCAGGGCAGCGTTTGGGGCCTACAGGATGAGGGCCTAGGTGAACAGCCAGCAGGCACCAGAACTGAGGAACATGGCCCTCCCAACACAGCTTCCTGGCCGGCTTCCTGGTCCACCTGCCTGCCTCCTGTTTATTGCAGTGCATGTTCCCAGAGCTTGAGATCACGGAAGCAAGTGGTGCCTGAGCCCATCATCTTCATTCCAGAAGGGCTGCCGCCTCAGACGCGGCTGGGGCTATTTTGGGAAACCAGGGTCTAACCCCAGCTTGGCATGGAGGAGCAGTCATCACCATCCCACCAGGTCCTGTCATCTGGGAGCCCTCTGGGGTCCAGGGGCTTGGGCAGGCCCACTCCAAGCAGAAGAGCTGCATCTGGGGAACAGGGTGGGTGCTCTCTTAGGAAACAGAGACCCCTGTGCTGGCCTAGTGCTGGAGCGACCCAGAGCCTCAGCCTGGAAGGTAATGGCAGCTTAGCAGAGGACTCATGAGAGCTGTGACAGAGAAGAAATGGGACTCAGAAAAAGGGAGTGACACAGGTGGGGGTAGGCATGGGAGGAGGTGCCTATCTTGACCCACAGCAGGACTGAGCCTAGGGCAAGCTGTCCCTTTCAGCCTGAATTGGCAAGAAGGTGGCCTGAGAGAGCCGCAGGCAAGGAAAGCATGATGGTCCGGGGGGAAGAGGCCAGGCACGTAGCCTGAGGATCCCAACATGGGTTCAAGTCCTGCTGTTTCAGGACCACATCCAGCCCATGAGGACCTGCTTTCCATCTCCATGAGCTCTGAAGCTGTGCTTCTCTGAGGACTGCCCCTGGGCCCCCAACCCAGCCCCTGGGTACAAGACTCAGGGCCAGGGACTGCACTGGACATCTGAATTCTGAATTTTCAGTTGGCCACACCCAAGCCCAATGCAGAGATGCCCTGAAGGCCACTTTCAGAGGCGTCTTCGGAGAGGCAATGACCCTGAGGGCCTGCATGGAGGGTCTCACAAGTCAGTGTTTAAACAGGGTGCCTCGGAGTCTTCAGAGTGCTCACCAGCTGCCCGTGGTCTGGCTCTGGGGAGGGGCTGCCGCTTTCCTGAGGCAGCTTTGGGTGCCCCTTTCTTACCGCTCATTTTCCTGGGGGTGGGTAGGAAAGGTCAGGTAGGGTGTGCTCAGAGTGGCAGATCAACAGAGAACAGCACGGCACACTACCTTGGGCCTGTGTGGACTGTCAGCAGATGCCAAATTGGGGAACACAGGATCACAAGCCCCCCAACACAGTTTCCCTCCTGGCTGCCCCTGGTTATTGGCTTATGTGTACCCTGCAGCTTGGGTGGGAATGCTTGGCAAGAACATCTGGCTCAGCTGTCCCCCTAGCCCCCACTCACCTGTCCCCTCCAGCCCCAGCTCACCCATCCTCTAGCCCCAGGATGGCAGAAAGAAGGTCTGGCACTGTCAAAGGAGGGAGAGGGCTTGGGGTGGATGTTGGCAGGGCAGGGTGGTGGGGGTTGGACAAATGGTGCAACCTGGGGCAGGTCTAAGTAGGGCAAGGGGTCTAAGTGGGGCAAGGGCTCTAAGGGTCTGATGAGAAACTGGTGTTCTGAGCAGGGGTCTGAAATTTTGGGGGGGACATTGAGGGGGACTTAGGGGCCGCTGAAGTCTTCCATGTGATGGTCGGTATGCGTGGAGGGAGCATGTCAGTGTGCATGGTCAATGTGCAGGGCCCCACCTGTGCGGGGACCTAACATGCAGGACCCTGGTTGTGTGAGGGACTCCCAGAGTTCCCGTGGGATCCTATATGTGTGCAGGGCTCTGTGGAGAAGGATCTCTGTACTGCACATGGCAAATCAGTATGTGTAGTCCTCGTTCACATCCTCTATCAGAATGTGGGGGTCCTCTATTTGTGTATGGGATTGGTGCCTGAGGATTCCTCCTGTGCATGTGGGGTCTCCTGTGTGTGTGGACATTGGTGTGTCTGGGTGATTAGCATGCATGGGACGTGGTGTGCATGTGGGGTTCTGCATGTGTGCAGGGGGGTCCCTGTGTTCCTGTGGTGTCCCATGTTCATAGGGGGAAGGGTTGGTATGTGCGGGGTCCCCTATACATGTGGACATTGGTGTGGGGGAAGTCAGTGTGCAAGGCGGGGGATCCGTATGTGCCTGCAGAGTTCCCTGTGTGGGAATGGCTGTGGATGTGCCTGTGGGGTCCTATGTACATGGCAGGAAGATTCTGTGGGAGATTGAGGTCTGGGAGGACTGGTGTGAGTGTGGGAAGGTCCCCTGTATGTGTGGCTGCACTATATGTGTGCCCATAGGGTCCCTGTGTGCCTGTGGGGTCTCAGGTATTCTTGGGCATTGGTGTGTGCAGGGAGGGTCCTATGTGCTAGCGTGGGGGTACGGGAGGTCGGGGTGGGGGTCCCCGGGTCCGGTGGGGGGTTCCCTGTGCTCGCCTGTCCCCAGGCCTGGGCCGAACCGCGCCTCACCTGCCTCACCTGCCTCACCTGCCTCCCCCAACTCTCCGGCGAGGCCCGAAGCCCCGCCCCCCGCGTAGGACGGGCCCGTTTCTTAGCTACTGAGCCGGAACTTCCGAGCACCTCGACTTCCGGGGCGAGGGTCAGGGGTCAGGCATAGGGACGTCGAGCCTTGGGCGACCCGATGGGCGCTGGGGGCGCGGGCTCTGGACGGCGGGCCCTGGCAGCCTCGCGGGCTGCGGGCCAGGGTCCCGGGCGCGCGGGCGGCGGGGCCGGGGGCGGCGGCGGAGGAATGCGGGCGCGCCGCGGGTGGGGCCGCCCCGCCCCCAGGTGCTGCCCGGGCAGGCCGGCGCGGGAGCGGCGGGCGGGGCGGGGGCGGGCGCGTGAATCAGGCCGCGCGGCGGGCGGGCCGCGGCAGGGAGTGGCTGCCGGACCGACCGTACGGCGAGGCCGCTGGGCGGCGGTCGGCTCCTGGTGCCTTTGTCCCGAGACCCCGCGCACCTGGCCAGGTAGGGGTCCCCTCCCCCGGCTCAAGCGGGGCGGGGTCGGCGCGCGCCACCGGCGCGGCCTCGCCTGGGCTGCCCGCCCGCACCTGGGAAGCGGCCGCGCCACCCAGGACGAGCGGTGGGAGTGCGGGAGTCGGGGGGCGCCGCGGCCGCGTGTGCAGGTGTGGACGCTTGCGCCCTCGCACAACGCCGGCCCAGGAAGAGCCGAGTGAGAAGTGGCCCGGGCATGGGTCGAGCCTGTCCGGGCCATCCTGACTCACCCCCGCACTCGCGGCCTAGCCAGAATCCGGGGAGGTGCAGGGCCTGGACCCACCCCTGGGGGCGCCCTGCTAGGTCGCCTTGAACTCGGGGGGACGAGGTGGCCAGGGCGAGGTCAGGTGTCCGTGGGGTGCAGGCAAAGCAAAAGGCCTGTTGTCCGGTGCCTAAGTCCCTAGGCTGGGATGGATGGACAGGACGCCCTGCCTAGGCTGCTGCTTACTCCCTGGGGTGCACCCACAAAACTACAGCTCACCGACTTCTAGCGCGTGAGCCCCATCCGAACCGATACTCCGACCTCTACACCTCTTAATGACCGGGTGGCCTTCCTGTGGCGAACCTCCTGCCCCAACTCGACCGGTCTGTACTTGGCGCAGGGTCTCCCCGCCTTGTGTATTTGTCGCAGATCCTTCCCTCAGAATCCCCCTGCCGGCACTTAGAAACTAAACCTGCTGCCCAGGTGGGAAAGATCCGCGATCAGGAAGTCCCTGGCTGGGGAGCATGGAGGCTTTGACTGGCTGGCCAGAGGTCAGAGGTCAGCGGCAGAGAAGCGGATTCCTGTTGAGTCATTGGCCTGGGTGGGAAAAGCCCCTCCCTCAAGGCTGGCGTTGGCTAGGCCAGGTGGGGTTCCTGGGTACTGGGGAGTGGGCATCACCTGGTTCTGACCCACCGGTGGAAAGAGGTCAAGGAATAAGGTCATCGAGTTCACGGGCATCTGTGAAGCCAAGCTAGGCCCCCTGCCGTGGTCACTCAGGACCAGTGCCCCTTCCTGACCAGTCCCTGTCTGAGAAGCCTCCTTACTCTCCATGGGATTCCCTCACTCCACATTGGAACGGGACAGTATTCCTCTAGTGTGTCCCCCTAGCTTAGGAAGTGCTCCCCTCAAATGCAGTCAGCAGGAGAGTGCCCTCAAACCCTGCATGGTCAGGACATCCTGCACAGCCGTAGCCCCACTACTGTGGGTAGATGCTGTGTGACACCCCACATCACACTGGGCAGACCCAGGTCCAGTCTGACAGACTTGCACCTTATACCCCCATGTGCAGCTTCAGCCTGGACCTGGTGCAGCAGGGAGGGTGCAGCCACCCCGTATGTACCCGTGTGTGGTAGAGGACAGTGCCCCATGAAGGGATTTCAGAACAGCTTTTTTTCAGGCAGTGGCACCGCCTCTGTTGGACGTGGACTGCATGCCACACGGGAGTGTCCTCCATCTCCATGTCACATTCAGTTAGCCTGTCTCTCCCAGAAAAGACTGGAGAGATTTCCCATATCATATACAACAGTCTTGACCCCCAGCATTCTCAGGCAACTGTCGTCAGCCAGCCCGGGACCTCATGAAGTCAGCATTGCCCAACTGCACCTTGGGGAGCAGGGGTCTTATCTGGTACAACACTTATCCCAGCCAGGACTACATCTGGGAACCTGTGAGCTGAGACAGGATCAGAACCCCACCTCATCCCAGCCTGAGGAGCAGCAGGGGTGGGGTGAGCAATGCCTGGGCTCTCCTTGCAGGGTAGGAGGAAAACATGTATCCAGTTAGTACAGGGGTCACAGGTAGCTGGGCTCTGGGATTTCAGTAGCGCCCCCCCATCCCCGTGGCAGGGGTCACAGGTAGCTGGGCTCTGGGATTTCAGTAGCGCCCCCCCCATCCCCGTGGCTTGGGGCCAATGAGGACTTTCCCTCTACGGAGGCCCTTCTCAGGCAGGTGGGCTGGAGCAGACCACCCAGGAGGAGGATGTCGGTGGGAAGTTGGGGTGAGGGGGAGAGGTGTGCTTGGAGCCCAGGGTGAGCTCTGACTTTGTCCAGAGTGCAGAGGGGAGCAGGCTGATGACCAGAAACTTGGAAAGACCCCAGTGGGCTGGGAACCTCGTGAGACAGGATTGTAAGTTCACAGAGTTCTGAGGAAGCTGCAGCCTGGATCTTCAAGGGTGTGACGTACAGCCTGCAGGGAGGGGCCACACCCGAGGTTATGGCCCAGAGGTATCTAGAATGGCTCAGTAGCCCGAGAGAGGTCTAGGGTGGGCCAAAGGGAAGGGGACATTGCTGACAGGAATAAAGGGCAGAGGTCAGGGTTCAGAGGACTGTGAGGTCAGTGAATGGGTTGTGGGGCTCAGTGTGTGAGACCCCAGAGAATAGTTGCAGGTGTGACCAGGGGCTGTGGGTGGGTTCAGCGCCACATCCTCTGACAGCAGTGACAAGTTCTGTGTACCAAGCTCACCTTGGGCCTATCATAGCATGCAGGTCAACCCTTACAGCTGCAGTTTACAGTGGAGGTAAGGAGCTGGAGATGCACGGTGGGCTGTCCAACTCATCCAGCACATTGTGTCAGGGGCTCACAAGAGGGCATTCATGTCATAAGATTAGAAGAAAAAAATCAGAAGAAAAAAAAATAAAGAATCCAGCCTGGGCTGTATTTTCTTTATACAGACAGTCACAAAATATCAGTGTTCTTTTTATGCATGAGGGGGCTTACAAGGTACCCCTGAGTGGGGTAGTGTGGAGCAGAAGCCCCCACTTGGAAGCCAGGGTGCAAGGTGCTCCCTGGGGGTCCAGCCACAGCAATAGGAGGTGTGGCTAGCATGCCAGTGTACTCTGATGAAGTCCCCCACCTTGGGGGTCTGCATCCTAGAGTCTGGATGCTATGGCAAGCCTGCAGCCATGGGCTAAACTCCACAGCCCTTTTACAATGTGTGTCCATATATAGTGGGGGTCTCATGGACCCAGGGTCCCTCCAGGGTAATGTGTCTCCTTACCCCTCTCCCAGGCTCCTGGCCCCAAAATGGCCCGTCGCTCTCAGAGCTCATCACAGGGGGACAACCCCCTGGCACCTGGGTACCTGCCACCTCACTATAAAGAGTACTACCGCCTGGCGGTGGATGCACTGGCTGAGGGGGGGCCAGAGGCCTACAGCCGCTTCCTGGTATCTGAGGGGGCACCTGCCTTCCTGTGCCCTGAGGAGCTGGAGCATGTGAGCCACCACCTGCGACCCCCACAGCATGTTGCCCAAGAACCCCCCGAAGGCAGCCCTCCCACTGCAGACATGGATGGCTCCTCAGGCACCTACTGGCCTGTGAACTCAGACCAGGCAGTGCCTGAGCTGGACCTGGGCTGGCCCTTGACCTTCGGCTTCCAGGGCACTGAGGTCACCACACTGGTGCAGCCACCACCACCTGACAGCCCCAGCATCAAGGAGGAGGCTCGAAGGATGATCCGCTCTGCTCAACAGGTGGGTTGCCACAGACCAGGGCGGTGGTGAGCAGGGGCAGCTGAGTTAGGCCTGGAAGTCTGAGATGCTCTGTAACAGTGAAGGAGAACCTGAGCTCACCCAGCCTTCAAGCAGGAGTGAGGGCTCCCTGGCACACTTCTTCCAGGGTGCAAAGGGCTTGGCTATGGCAGGCTGCACACCTTGGCTTGCCCATGGTCATGGCCAGTGCCCAGAAACTCAGGGTTCCCTCCTGGCCTGGATTGTACAAATTCTTTCTAGTCTGACTTGACTTAGCTGAGGGCTTCTTACCCACCTCACCAAGCAGTTGGCAAAGAACAAAGGGAGTCTGTTAAACCATGAGACTGAGGCATCAGGTCCGGATGGGAAAGACCCCTACTTCTGTCCCCCACCCCTTCCAGGGTAGAACTGGAGCCTGGGCGCAGCCCCATTACCTGCCCCAGGGTCTGGGGTAGTTAGCCATCTGTAGGGCAGGGGGGATTGCTGGGGATTCACTTGCCGCCCCATCCTACCTGGGGCTCTGCCCAGAGGGAAGCACCCACTCCCAGCTAAAGGACTGTTGTCCTATAGGATGTAGGCCCTGTGCCTACCTAGAGCCCCATCCTGGGCCACCCACTGTGGCAGCAACCCTATCTCCCCAGTAGTGGGCCCCACTTCCCCTGGGATGGGTAAGTGGCTGTTTGTAGTGTTTGTGGGTGACCCAAAGGCCCCTCAGGGCTGTGGAGGTATGGCTGGAGAATGGTGCAGACAGCAGAGGGGTCTGTCCACCATCCCTGATGCAACCCCTGCAGGTGGTGGCTGTGGTGATGGACATGTTCACGGATGTAGACCTGCTCAGTGAAGTGCTGGAGGCTGCTGCGCGTCGCGTCCCAGTCTATATCCTCCTGGATGAGATGAACGCGCAGCATTTCCTAGACATGGCCGACAAGTGCCGTGTCAACCTGCACCATGTGGATGTGAGTGACCGGGAGAGGGGGGTGTAGGGAAGGGGGAAGACCTTTCTGCAGAGACCTAACGCCTCTCCCTCCCAGTTCCTGCGCGTGCGCACTGTGGCAGGCCCCACCTACTACTGCCGCACTGGGAAGTCCTTCAAGGGACACGTGAAAGAGAAGTTCCTGCTGGTGGACTGTGCCGTGGTGATGAGTGGGAGCTACAGGTGCGCCCTGCCCCACATCCCCAACACCACCCACCCTAGGGCCACCACTCTGGAGGCCCTTGCCCTTAGACCTCCGACACAGCCCTGCCGGGCTTCTGGCAGATGATACACGTCCCTCTGACCCCGTCTCTGCCCCTCCCCCTGATCACACCGCTTCCACTGACTCTGACCCCACTCCCCCCACCCCACCCCCAGCTTCATGTGGTCCTTCGAGAAAATCCACCGCAGCCTGGCGCACGTGTTCCAGGGGGAGCTGGTCTCCAGCTTCGATGAAGAGTTCCGCATCCTCTTTGCACAGTCTGAGCCATTGGTGCCCTCGGCGGGAGCGCTGGCCCACATGGACGCCTACGCCCTGGCTCCGTACACCGGCACCGGGCACCACATGGGCGGCCAGGTGACCGGGGTGCCAACCCCTTTTTCCTTCCCCAAACGAGCGCACCTCCTATTCCCACCACCGCGAGAAGAGGGCCTGGGCTTCCCTTCCTTCCTTGACCCCGACCGCCATTTCCTGTCTACCTTACGCCGGGAGGATCCCCTGCGGATGCCAGGGGGTGCCCTGGAGCCGGCGGGGCTGCGGCAGTTGTCGCGGCGGCTGGACGCCGAGGCCGGCCCAAGTGGGGAGCTCGCGGGCACGCGGGGCTTCTTCCAGGCGCGGCATCTGGAGATGGACTCCTTCAAGCGGCATAGCTACGCGGCGGCTGATGGCGTGGGCGCCATGGAGAATTTCGCGGCTGCGCGGCAGGTGTCCCGGCAGACGTTTCTCAGCCACGGTGACGACTTGCGCTTCCAAACCAGCCACTTCCACCGCGACCAGCTCTACCAGCAGCATTACCAGTGGGACCCGCAGCTCGCGCCGGCACGCCCGCAGGGTCTGTTCGAGAAGCTGCGCGCCAGCCGCCCGGGCTTTGCGGAACCCGACGACTTTGGGATGGGTGCTGGGCCACGGTTCCCTGAACTCGGCGCAGACGGACACCAGAGGCTGGAATACGTGCCGTCCACTGCATCGCGTGAAGTGCGCCATGGCTCGGACCCCGCCTTCGGTCCTGGACCCCGCGGACTGGAACCCAGCGGGGCTCCACGCCCCAACCTGGGCCAGCGTTTCCCTTGCCAGGCGGCGGCGCGACAGGGCCCAGAGACCGCGCCCGAGGCGGAGCCAGAGCGGAGGGGCGGCCCCGAGGGGCGGGCTGGGTTGCGGCATTGGCGTCTGGCTTCCTACTTGAGTGGCTGCCATGGCGAGGACGCGGGGGATGAGGGTCTACCCGCGCCTATGGAGGCCGAGGCCTACGAAGACGACGTACTGGTTGCCGGGGGCCGCGTGGCCCCAGGGGATCTACTTCCCTCGGCTTTCCGCCTGCCTGCGCCCTCCCCGGCCAAGGGCCCAGCGCCTGGCACTGGCGGCGGTGGCGGGGAGGGCCTCGAGCGCCAAAGCGCGGAGGAGGCTGGCCTGGCCAAGCAGGACTCTTTCCGCTCGCGCCTGAACCCGCTGATCCAGCGCAGCTCACGGCTGCGCTCCTCGCTTATCTTCAGCGCTTCGCAGGCTGAGGGCGGGGGCGGGGCCACAGCGGCAGCCACCGAGAAGGTGCAACTGGTGCATAGGGAGCAGGCAGTCAATGAAACCCTGGGCCCCAGCGGCGAGACCACGCGCTCCGCCACCTCCGCCAAGGTGGCCGAGCTCCTGGAAAAGTACAAAGGCCCGGCGCGTGATCCTGGTGGCGCGGGAGGCGCAGTCACTGTCTCTAGCCAGAGCAAGGCTGTCGTGTCCCAGGCGTGGCGGGAGGAGGTGGTGGCGCCAGGCGACGGGGGGAGCGACCGCCGGAGCCTAGAGAGCTGCCTGCTGGACTTGCGAGACTCCTTCGCACAGCGGCTGCACCAGGAGGCTGAGCGGCAGCCGGGAGCCGCCTCCCTCACCGCCACTCAGCTGCTCGACACCCTGGGCCGCGGTGGCGCCGACAGGCTGCCCTCCCGCTTCCAGTTGCCCCAGGGCCGCACCTCCTCCCCGCAAGGGCGAGACAGCCTCCCACAGGAAGGTCTCGGGCTGCACCCAGCGCCCCTCCCCGAGCCAAAAGGGAGCCCCACGCCTGGGTTTCCCACTCGCAGAGGCAGTCCAACCGCCGGATTCACTGAGCAGAAGGGGAGCCCCACCTCAGCCTATCCAGACCCCAAGGGAAGCCCCACTGGGGCCTATCCCGAGCGCAGGGGCAGCCCGGTGCCTCCCGTGCCCGAGCGCAGGGGCAGCCCGGTGCCCCCCGTGCCCGAGCGCAGGGGCAGCCTCACCCTTACCTTCTCCGGGGAGTCTCCAAAGACTGGGTCCGCGGAGGAAGCGGTTGGCGGCCCCATGGAGGTCCTGCGCAAGGGCTCCCTGCGCCTTCGGCAGCTTCTGAGCCCCAAGGGTGAGCGGCGCCCAGAGGATGAGGGTGGCTTTCCAGCGCCGCAGGAAAATGGGCAGCCCGAGAGTCCCCGTCGGCCATCGTTGGGTCGCGGTGACAGCTCGGAGGCTGTCATTGGAGAGGAGCGGGTCCCGCGGCCGCGCATAGCCTCAGCGACAGCCAATGCCTTGTACAGTAGCAATCTGCGGGATGACACGAAAGCTATTCTGGAGCAGATCAGCGCCCATGGCCAGAAGCACCGTGGAGTCCCCGCCCCAGCCCCTGCCCCTGTCCCGGTCCACAGCAGCCCTGAGCTAAGCCACCCACCAGCTGCCGGCGGCCTAGCCCCTGACATGTCCGACAAGGACAAATGTTCAGCTATCTTTCGCTCGGACAGCCTGGGGACACAAGGTCGGCTGAGCCGCACGCTGCCAGCAAGCATGGAGGAGCGCGACCGGTTGCTGCGCCGCATGGAGAGCATGCGCAAGGAGAAGCGGGTCTACAGCCGCTTTGAGGTCTTCTGCAAAAAGGAGGAGGCCGGCGGCCTCGGGGCAGGGGAGGGCCCAGCTGAGGAGGACACCAGGGACAGCAAGATGGGCAAATTCATGCCCAAGATCCTTGGTACTTTCAAAAGCAAAAAGTGAATCTCCTAGCCCACCAGGCCAGGGCCACAGGGCCACCATCAGGCAGAGCCCCTGGTCCTCACACTAAAGCAGTTTGGAACCTGGCTGAGCACGGCCAGAGCTCAGCTTCACTGGGGCTCACCCGCTGGATGCTCTGCCTTTCACTCATCCTCTGCTCTTGGGGTTCCAGCCCCAGCTCTCCCCGTGCCTTACTCGCCCAGCTCCAGCCTCTGGGGCCTCAGCCTCCCCTTTGCCCATCTGCCTCCACCAAGTCTGGGCTTCAGGCCCCCTTTGGGCCTGCAATCGCCTCAGCCCCCATTTTCCGGGGCCCCCCTCTGTGCCTCAGCCCCCCATCTTCCGGGGCTTCTGTCTCAGGGCCTCTTTGTCTCAGGGTTCCCTCTGCTCAGGCTTCCTGGCTATTTTGCTTTTTGCTCTGCTGCCCCTTTGCCGTCTCCCGTCAGCCCTGCCCTCTTTCTGGGCCTTCCTTCTCCTCACCCGTTGTCTCTGTCTCCGGTGGTTGTGATCCCACTTCCTCCCCTACTTGGATTCCTCCTTGCAGCCACCTTGGCACCCTTCTCGGTGGCCCATCCCTTGGCGGCAGGGTGGTGGGCTGGTTGCAGACAGCTTGTGAGGGAGAAGTGGGGCGGGACCAGAGGGTGTGCCACGCACAGGAAGCGGACCTAGCCACGCCCCCAGGAAAGCTCTGACCAGTGAGAGCAGCAGGTTTGCAGCGCAGTGGAGCCAGGTCTGAATGGATGGTGCTCTGGAGGGGTCCACCCTGACACACATGTCCACAAGCGCCATCCTCAGCCACTCCGGAAGGGGGCTGGATGTGGAGGGCTTATGCTTGAACAGGTGAGGGCCAAGGCACCTCAGCCCCAGCCTGCTGCTTTGAGGGGTGCTGGCGCCCTGGGGTGGGAACTGTCCTTGCACTACAGATCGAGCAGACCTCAGCTGCACCCTGTGCAGGACCCTTACCTCTGTCACCAGCCTACACAATCTGTCCACAGTTCCCTGCTTACCTTTTTTTGTCTTTTTCACCTCCAGAGAGTAATCTTGATCTGGCAAGTCCCCCACTGCAGGTGCTATCGTGAAATTAGTGTTTGCTATTTCTTTTCAAGTTTTTTTTTTAAGTATAAAGAATCCAGGTGCCCAGATTGGGGAGGGATTTAAGAAATAAGGCTACTGAGCAAAAGCAGCAGTCCTGACTGCATAGCTGGAGAAGGGAGGGCGGTGGGGCTGGGGACACTTTTGCTCCTGGACAGCTCACAGGCTGGTTACCAAATCCACCTCCCAGGTAAGGGTGACAGCAGGGCTTTTGTTCAGGTGGAAAGAGTCACTGGGGAGCATATCTTGGCCTGGTTATGCTTGCCAGCAAGTTTGTCTCCCTGCAGCCCAATGTGACACCATTGCTGTGGGGAGCCCTCCAAGCCACCTGTCTGGATCCTCCACATTGTGCTGAATAAGACATCTCCTCAAATGTGACTCGGCGCGCTTCAGCGTTAACAATAAAACAATGTGCAAGATATTCCACCACGTTCCCACAGTATATATAATCACCTCTACTGCAGCCTTTAGCCTTGTGAACCCTCCAGATTTCCCTCTGGCTGCCACCACCCATCCCTGTGGGGAGACTAGAAACCACCCAGCCTGTACTGCTAACACCTCTACCTGAATCTCCTCGCCCAGCACAGACTCGTCCCACATCTCTGCCACTTCCAGGGACAGTCCCCCTCACAAATAACTACTGCCATCTGCTCCCACACCTTGCCCAGCCCAGCTATCAGTGCAAGCACATACTGGTGCTCCCATGGTGGCCCCTGGCCACCAAGCCCAGCCTAACCTCACAGCTCCCACCAACCTGAGTCCTCCCCTGGGTGCCAGGTGGCCACTTGCCCAGTTGTCTGGGCCACCAATGCCTTTCCCAGCTGCAAAGTCTGCACACAGGGCTGGACTTGCGGGCCTGCCCCTCTCTGGGCAGTGGTATTCATCCTCACTGCCTCATTGGACCCCACTGTACCTCACTTTGTGGCTGTGCCTCAGACTCCAGAAACTCAACAAAACACTCCCTGGGCAGCCCAGTCTCATGACTCGGCTCACCTTCAAGACAGCCTGTGTGTACCCCTGGCCCCTCCTTCCCAGCCTCCTCCCATGCCCTGCTGTCTGAACCCACCTTCTGTGCAGCAGTTCTTACCCAGGCCTCACTTTTTCCACTTTACCCCACCCTGCAGGGACCAGCAGCTTTTACAGAGGACTGGGGGTCCCTGCTTCTGGCAGCCTCGCTCCCTCCAGCCAGGACACTGGGAAGTGGCCTCCTTGTGTGGGGACCCTGCCATGGTCAGATGTGTTGCAGGGCACTCAGGGAACTACAAGACACAGCTTGGTAGTGTCCCTGGTCTCAAACCCCACGCCCCTGGCCTGGACTCATACCAGGCCCTGTGCCTGCTGGTGATCAGAGGAAGTAGCTTTGAGCCCCACAAGACATCCCCAGGGTGTCTCCCCCTTCCTCCACCAGGACAAAGCAGGTGTCAGCCACTGTGTTACTGAGGCATGGGCTAGGATCCCTGCTGATGCCCAGTCAGGGCCGCACCCTGGAGCACTGCACTGGCATCTCCTCTCCTTTCATCTCTGGCTCAGGGTCACCAAACTGGCCATATGGTGGCTTGTACCCAGGTAATGGGTGCACAGTCTCTGCCGTGCCAGGAGCACCCTGGGGACGACCTAACCCTTCCACAAACCCAGGTGGGATCTAATCATCCTGAGGCCCCAGGGCACTGTGGGCAGAGGAAGCTGGCCCCCAAGTAGCCCCCAAGCAGTCTTAGTCACCTGGAGGGAAAGCACTGCCCTCATGGCTTCTGGTTGGCTCTGAACCAGACATGGGGTGGGGGTCCTCCAAAGGAGGTGGGCTCCAGGAAAAGGGTGGTGTGTGGACTTCAAGGGAGTCTCTCGCTGAGGATGAGAGATGGTCAGATAGACTGCAGATGGACGCAACTTTATTGCAGGACGTGACCGAGGCTGGCTGGGAACCTTGTCTACTCCCTGACAGGCTCCCTGGAATGTGAATGTGACCAGGTAAAGGGGGGCTGGGGGCGGGGCAACCCCTGGGGCTGGGTTGAAGGCGGGTGGGGCTCAGGCTCGGGGTCCTTGGAGCAGGGGCAGGTGGCCCAGGGCCGAGTGGCGGACAGTACCGTAGGCTTGCGAGTAGCCCCCAAGCGCAGCACGTGCGGCCCCCTGGGTCCCCTGCGAGATCAAGGCGCTGAACATCCTCCGGCCAGGCCGGCGCTCAGGCCGGGCCTCTGGAAGAAGCCCATCAGGGACCTGCACGTAGTCCAATGTCTGCGTAAGGGGCTGGGGACCCTGCCCCGGAGCAAACCGGAGGCCTGAGGGAGGTGGCAGGGAGGCGGGAGGGCTGGACTCACCCGTCGCTCCTCGGCTGCCCTCGCCCCACGACCCGCCTCCTGGCCACCCCTGATCAGGGCCTGGATGGCCACCCGGGTGGCAGCCTGCGAAGTCAGAGAGGGTGCAGTCCCCATCACGCCAGTCTTTGCCTGGAAATGGGCACGTCATGGCGTCACTGCTGGACTGCGTGCTGTTGGCCCTATGAAAGGTACAGTGGGAGGGGTCCTCCGGTGCCCACCTACCCATGAGGGTACGCAGGCGGGCTGCGCCATGGCTGCAGGGGGCCTTGCCCCTCGCCCGAGACCTCCTGGGGGTGGAGGCCGGAGCAGGGATGCCGAGTTCTGCCTGGGAAGGGTCTTGGCTCCGCAGGGGGCATCTGTGGGACAGAAGATCAAGCCCTGGGTTAGTGGTCCCACACACATAAGGCCCGGGGCTACGCTCCGTGTGGATGGCTGTCAGAGATCACACACCGTGTGCAGGGACCTGACCCAGGCTCCTCTGAGGCCTGCGTGGGAGGGTCTGTGCAGGCAAGCCTGCGGGTGGCGGAGGCCCAGCTCTGGGTTTGAGCAGGTGCACCTGAGGCCAGGGGTTGTCCCTCAGAGCCTTCTCTCTCTGGACGTGGCTGTTGCCCCTGCGCTCCAGGATCATCTGCGGGAGGGAGAGGGCACTCAGAGGCACAAGGTTTGGGTGTACGGGGTGCTGGGGGTCACTGAGGCAGGTGGAGGCCTCAACGGTGCGTGCACATGAGGGATGTGGCTATCGCAGGCAGGAGCACCTGGTAGAGATGATTGCGATACTCGTGGGCTGAGAGTTGGGCTCCTTCCTGCACAGGGAGCCGAATGTCCACCTCAAGTGTCCACTCGAGGGCCGGGCAGTGGAACCTGCAGGGAGCAGCCAGGAGGGTGTGGGAGAACCAAGCCCAGGTCGGACACCCAACACCCAATCCCGGCACATGGGGGCTAGCCTATGGGACCCAGCTCCCACCACTACCTCTGCACATAGGGGTGCTGCAGGGCCTGCACTGCGCTAAGCCGCTTGTCTGGGGCAAACACGAGCAGTCGCCTGAGGAGGTCCAGGGCCTCTGGGGGGGTGTCAGGTGGTAGGAGGGCATCCAACGTCTGCCGTGGCCTGCTGGGAGGCATGCCACACCCTCTTGGCCAGGGCCCCTCCACACGTGAACATCCGTGGCCTGTCTGGGCTTCCAAACCCCATCCCATTTAACCATCTCTGTGGATCCTCCCACCTCATGCAGAACCCTCAGGCAGCTTGGGGAGATCTGAAGACCCCTGCCTTGTTCTGGGGGTCCCCTCCTCCCCAGCCCCTGTGCAGTTCTGCATATCTGCTACCCCATACCCCAGGCTGCGCTGAGGCTGGGGACTGGTCGTTTTTAGTGTGACCAAGAGTTGCAGGCTCTGTGGGCTGGCACTGACAGGCCAGCAAGGTTATAGGAAGTGCTGGAGCCTGGCTCCTGAGCACTGGCACTCACTGGGACCCCAGGCAGTGCAGAATCGAGGTGCTGTAGTTTGAGCCAAGAGCGAGGAGGTCTGCAGGGTGGGGGCAGAAGGTGGTGCCTGATCAGGGGGGCCTGGTTGGGTGGGTGGCTCAGAGGGGTCTGGGGCCAGCTATCTCTTTCAGCTCCATAGAATGACCTTCTCTCTGCAGGGCTGCAGCTGTCTGGGCTCAAAGCCCAAATACCTGGATGCGTGCCCCATGTGTATGTGTGCACCCACATAGGTGCCTATCCTTGCACACTTAAACCCTCAACACTTGGCCATGCACACAGGCCCACCATGCTCAGACACCCCACCTCCATGAAGGAGCCATGAGCTAAGGGACAGAATCGGGCTCCCCCTCCCAGGCCCTTTGCCTCTCTCTTGCCCTACTCCCGTCCCCCAGGGAAGAGGAAGGAGCCAGCGACAGCACCCCACCTCAGCTGCTCTGCCTTCTTCTACCTCTTCCCTCCAACCTCCCGTCCTAGTTCCCTGCAGCGTACGGGGCCTGCCCCTGCCACCCCTCCGGCTGGACTAGTGCTCCTGTCCTGGCCCAGCTGGATCCTTCCTGCCACTCACTGCTTGGCCCTCAGGGAACTCGAAGCCAGCCCCCACCTGCCTTGAAGACAATGTCCACTTGCTCCCCCAAACCACCCGCAGGTCCTCTCTGGGCCCACCTGGCCTCTACCGTCTTCCTGAGGCTTCTGGAACCATCCCCATCCCTCCGTCCCATCCTCCTCCCCCTACCAGGCCTGGCCTGTCAGGGGCGGTCTCCCCACAGCTGTGTCTCCGGGGCCCAGTGGGCACCTGCCGCGCTTACCCTCCTGAGATGGTGGTGGGATGGTCGCCAGGATCAGCTCCAGCTGGTGGAGCGTGGATGTGCCAGGGAACAGGGGCCTCCCCCGCAGCATCTCCCCCAGGATGCAACCCAGACTCCACATGTCCACCCCAGGGGTGTACCTGAGGTAGGAAGGGTGGAGGTGTGGGGGACCCTGGAGGCAGAGGTGGGCATGGGAAGAGGGACGCGCCAGGGGGTGGGGTCTGAGGTCCTGTGAGGGGGAGGGGCAGAACAGCTGTGGGAACCCTGGCTTGGCCAGAAGGCATGTTGGGGGGTTGAGGGGGGTGTCACTGTTACCAGCTTGAGGATAGCAGCACCTCAGGAGCCCGGTACCAGCGTGTGGCCACGTACTCTGTCAGGGCCTGGCCCTCGGGCCCCTCAGTGAGGCTGCTGAGGGGGCGGGCGAGGCCAAAGTCACAGAGCTTCACTGTGCAGCTGGTGTCCAGGAGAACATTGGAAGGCTGCGGGGAGGAGAAGGCTGAGGGTGGCAGTGCGGGTGGGCGTGCAGGGCTCAGCCTGGGGCTGGGGGTGTGGTGGCACCTTCTGATCCCGGTGGATGACACGTCCTGAGTGGATGAACTTGGTGGCCCGCAGGAGCTGACAGAAGATGTAGCGCTTGTGAACATCCTTCAGCAGTCTGCCCTTGCAGATGACGGCATTCAGGTCAGTGTCTGGGGGAGAGTGTGGGTCAGCCTGGGGGCCAGGGCAGGACTTGCAGGTCAGGCTAGGGGCCGGGGCAGAGTGGGCAGGTCTGTCCCACTTTGAACCCTTGTAGGGGTACCTCGGCCCGCCTGCTGCCCTCAGAGCAGGTCCTGTGCCCCATGCTGGCAGGAAGTCCCCACAGGCTTCTCAGGCCTGTCCACTGTCTTTGTCAGTATAGCAATAAAAGTTTGTAGAATCACTTTTAATACTTTATTTCATGTTGCCTTTGTTTTTATAAAATGACTGGGAAAAGGAAAGTGCAGCTGCAAAAGGGGGTCACAGCAGTTACGCCCTGGGAGTGACATGTGCCCACTCAGGGACGCTGCCCAGGGTATGGGCACTGGCCACCATGGAGAGCTAAGCAGCAGAGGGACATACAGGGAGAGCCAGGCCACTGAGGGGTTCTACGCCAGGACAAAGGTGGGGCTGGAGGCTGGGCAAGGCTTCACTCACCCATAGACTCAAACACCAGATAAATGTCCCTGTCATTTTCCGCCCAGATCACATCCAGAAGGCGGATGATGTTGGGATGGTCCCCAAATTCCTGGGGAGAGAGCCGGGGCTGTACGCTGGGGTGGAGGGGCTGGGCTTCCCCTCTTGTCTGGAGAGACCGCATCTGGGGAAGGGGGCAGGTGGCTGTGGCCCCTCACCTGGAGCAGCAGAATTTCCCGGTACGTTCTCTGGAATGAGACAGAAACATGAGAGTGGGTGCCAAGCAAGAAGGAAGCACCCATCTTAAAAGGATCCAAAGGGATTAGTGCTCATCACCCACACACCCCGTGTGGGGTCACAGACAGGGAGGCGCTCTGGGAAATGCCAGGCTCCTGCTGTAACTAGGCTTTAATGTCAAAGCCAGAGCTCCCAGGCACCAAAGCAACAGGGCGCCCACACCTCGTCCTGCTCAGTTACCTGGGCGTCCGTCTTATCCCTAAAGGCATCAAAGATTTTCTTGATGGCCACGACCTCGCCCGTCTTCCGATCCACTGCCTTCCACACAATGCCATAGGCCTGGGGAGGAGGGCAGTCAGCTAGCTGGGCACAGGGCCAGCCTCCTGCCCAGCCATCTCCTGCCCACCAGATTGTTCCCTGCAGATACAAGGCTCCTCCTTCCTGCTCTGGCTCCTGGGAGGGGATGGGGATGAGGTCCCTGCTGCTGAAGGCTGCCCAGCTTGCAGCCTAGGACTGTGGCATCTTCCAGATGAGGCTGATGGGAAGAAGGCTCCAGGAGGAAATGAGGTCACAGATGGAGATCTGTGCAGGAGCTGAAGCCTGTCCATCCCACATACACTCACCCCTGTCTCATGTCCCCACCCAGCCGATCAGCAAGGCCAGTCGGCCCCACCTTCAGAGTTCATTAGAATCCCACCCCTTGCTACCATCTCTGTTGCCCCCACCCTGGTCTGAGCCTCCCGCTTCTCTGGCCTGGATCAGTACACTAATGTCTCAACTAATCGCTGCCACCCCTGCCCACCACCCCTGCTGTCCATCCTCGAGAGAGGGCAAGCAAGCCTCCTAAAGTGGTGCCCATGGTTGCCACGATCGCAAAGTCCTTGCAGACCCCCAGAGTGCAGGGTGATCGGACCCCCATACCCCGCCCCCAATCACCACAGTCACACCAACTCTGCCGTTTCCCCAAACTTGCCTCCAGGTCTGTGCGCTCGCTCTTTACACTGCCTCTCCTCTCCCCCAGCACACACCCACACAGCCACACTCATGCACAGTCCCACAAGTGCACACACACGATCACAAATGCACATGGCTCTCACACGTCCACCTTTAAACTTTAACCTCTTAGGCCCTTCCTGGCGGGTCTGGTACCTGCCCTTCCCCTCAGCTGCTGGACTGGTGGGTCCGGCGTCCCTGGGGTATCCTGTAGGCCTCGGAGAGGCAGCCCAGGAGCCGGGGACGGTGGGTGGGGCTCCCGGATAGCCCCGGCTTGGGGGCAACTGGCTGTCACCAGCAGGTGACAAGTTCCCTGGGAGTCGGCCCTGTTACAGGAAACCGAAGGCACCGAGGGCTCGGCAGCTTGCCAAGGTCACACGTTCGGTAGGAGGAGGCAGGACGCGAGGCCCGGAGTCCGGCAGGGTCGGGGACAGGACCCGGCCTGGACCTCCCCGCCCCGCCGACGCCCCCCACCCCCCGGGCTCACCCCCTTCCCGAGCCGCCGCTTGAGCAGGTACCGCTGGGCGACGCGCTGGTCCACCTCCAAGGCACACATGCCGACAGGTCCCGCAGCTCCGCAAGCCCGAGTTGCTGGAGCTGTTGGCGCCCGTCGCCGTGGGAACCGGCGGCCACGCCTCCCTCGCGCCCGAGCGCCGGGGTGGGCGGGGACCTGAGCCCAAGCCTCCCGCGGGCCCGCCCCGCTGCGCTCCCCTCGGCCCCGTGGCCCGCGCCGGACCCCCGAGGAGGTGCCTGCGGCTCTGGAACCCTCCCGGGCTGCAGCCCCGTGTGCGAGCTCCGGGCCTCAGCGCGGGTGGCGCGCTCTTTCTCTCTCCGCCCTCCGTCTACCCGACTCTGCTGAGTTGGTGCTGATGGGGATTTAGGTCGCACGCAGCCATTCCGCCCGGAGCCGTTGGGCAGGGGCCGCGGCGTCTCCAGCGGGTGCGGGCGCGGGCGCGGGCGCGGGCGCCTGAGCTGGGCAGGTGCAGAGGTGCGGCGAGGAGCCCGCGGGGAGCTCAGGGCGGCGCGGTCCTGGCGAGGGGCAGGGGAGCGGAGGGGGTCTGCTGCGCGTCCGGGTCACGTGCACCGCGTCGGAGCAGCGCAGCCCAAGAAAGAGAGGTGCGTGGCTGGCGGGCAGGGTGCCCAGGGAAGAAGTGGCGGCACAAGCCCTTGGACATTGGGGGAAGAGCATGGAGGGGACACTTGGGCAAAGGCCCCGAGGGGGATCGTGTCTGGCGCTCTGAAACCACAGGAAGGACCCGTGTGCCTGGAGCGCTGGGACGGGACCAGGGGTGTCAGTAGGTTGCGGGTCATGGAAAGGGATTTCCTCAGGGACAGGTGACATACACTGGTGGTGCTGGCCCTTGGCTTTTATTAAAGCAACAGGTAGGGAGAGAGCCAAGGAGTGAGTGCAGGTGTAGAAGAGGGTGAGGTAGAGCCCTGCGCCCTCCAGCATTCAGACTACAATAAGCAGTTTAAAAACATTTCAATCTGTTGCAGACCAATAATTCTGTAGAATACAATTAAAATCAATTATTAGAAAAAAATTATAGACATGCAAAATAAAGGCCCCAGTTTTCATCAGATTCAGCAGTCTTACAATGACTCTGCCCCACAGTTATATGAGTATCTCACCTCTTCCCCACCCCCTGGCCTCCATTTCTTTGTTACTTCATTGTAGAAGTGTAACAAACAGATGGGGGGTGGCACTGGACTGAGAAGGAGGGACAAAGAGCAGGGCAATGCCTGGTGTCCGGTGACCAAGTGATGTAAACCCTGAAGTGGGATGAGAACGCAAACCAGCATGAGACCCCCTGCATTCCTGCTGGAATGGCAAACATTGAGAAGACTGGGATGTTTAAAATGAGAATTAAAATGCTACAACCACTTTGCAAAAACATTTGGCAGTCTCTTGAACATAAATTTACCATTACCCAGCTATTTTACATTTAGGTAGTTACTCAAGAGACATGAAAATATACATCCACATAAAGAATTGTACATGAGGAATGGATAAATAAAATTTGGACCAACCATAAATGCAATACCACTCAGCAACAAAAGGAAAGAAATTGTTGATATATACAGTGTGGATGAGTGTCAAAATCATTATACCAACTAAAGAAGCCAGGCCTCTTCTCAGGAGTACACTCTATGACTCCGTTTATACAAAATCCTAGAATATGCTGGCTATGGATCAGGGACGGCTTTAGCCTTGGGGTAGAGGGAGAGATGGGCTGCAGCTGGTGCCAGAAAACCTTTGGAGGTGCTAGAAATATCCAACTGTCATGATGACTTCAGGGGCATGTACTTCGTCAAACCTATTTAAATTGTGCACTTAAAATATGTGCAGTTTCTTGTCCCTCAGCTGTCTTTTAGTAGAAAGTTTGTGGGAGCGGAGAATAAACAAGGGAAAAGGAAACAAAGAAGGAATGAGAGACTCCTACTTGCGTGCGATGGAGTAACTGGACCTGAACATGTCCTCCTTCAGTGAACAACCTGCAAACTGGACAGAATATGTAAAACGACTGTCCATATGCCAGGCGATGAGCAGCGAGGACCACAACCTCGGGACAACAAACACATGGGCTGCTTTGGTTCCCTTGCCAAGCACCATGTCAGGGGGCATGGGGAGAACCTTCTGTAAGTCTGTGCCAGGAACAATATGGGGGTGGTTCCAGCAAGACAAACCCCAGATTTCCCAGGTGTATGGGGGGTCTCTAGGTGCCAAGCAGCCAGGGTGGACACCAGAGTGTTCAGGAGAGACCCCTTACAGGTCATGCCTCAGTGAAGCAACTATAAACTAGCTCTAAGGGGACTCCACACCTCTCAGGATAGGGAGAACAAGCCTTGAACAAGATCAAACAAAGGTAGCTTAACTTCCTGCCACCAGCACGTCACCTTCTAAAGGGAAACAACAAAACAACACTCAATAACTCAAAATTCACAATATCCAGCACTCAGTAAGAGTTACTAGACTTAACCGATTAAAAATATGGGCAAAGAATTTAAATAGACATATCTTCCATGAATATATACAAGTGGTCGACAGCACATGCTGTGTTCAGCATCATTGGCCATCAGGGAAATACAATCAAAGACACATGAGATGTCACCTCACATAATGATAATAAAAAAACAAGTCTTGGCAAGAACAGAGAAACTGCGACTCTCATACATTGCTGGTAGGAACGTAAAATGGTGCAGCCACCATAGAAACTAGTTTGGCATTTCCTCAAAAGGTTAAACATAGACTTACCATATGATTCAGCAATTCCATTTCTGGGTGTATACCCAAAAGAATTAAAAACACATGTTTGCACACAAGTGTTCATAGCAGCATGATTTTTTATAATTATTATTACAAAAGCCTAAAGGTGGAAACAACCCAAATGTTTGGATAAACGTATGTGGGCTAGCCATACAATGGAATATAATTCAGCCATAGAAAGTAATGTACTGCTGATCCATGTTATAATGTGGATGAGCCTCAGAAACATTGTGCTGAGTGATAGAAGTCAGGTACAAAAGGTCACATACTATATGATTCCATGTATATGAAATACTCAGAATAGGTAAGCCCATAGAGACAGAAAGTAGATTGGTGATTTCTGGGGCTTGGGAGAAGGGCAAATGGGTATGACTGATTAATGGGTGCAGGGTTCCCTTTTGGGGTAATGAAAATATTTTATAACTAGATAGAGGTGGTGGTTACATAACATTGTGAATGTACCAAATGCCACCAAGTTGTACACTTTAATATGGTAAATTTTATGTTACATGAATTTCACCTGAAAAAAGTTACAAACCTTCTAAGCAGCAGGAAGATATGACTCCTATCCAGGAGACGAATCAGTTGGTAGAGCTTGACCCATAAATGTCAGAGATAATAGAATTGGCAATGACTTTTAAAACAGCTACTAGAAATATGCTCATGGACTTAAAGGAAAACATGAATATAATGAGATGAGAAGGATAAATTATAAAAAAGAACCAAATGGGATTTCTGGAGCCAAAAAAATAAAGTATCTGAAATGAAAAAATGCATTAGACAGACTTAACAGCAGAAGAGACGCTCAGTGAACTTTAAGGCACAGCAGTAGGAAATGTCCAAATCGAGACACACAGAGCAAAAACCTGAATGATCTGTGGGGAAGTATCAACGAATGGGGTGGTACAGAAAATATATTTGAGAAAGTGCTGGCTGAAATTTTTGCAGATTTGAAGGAAGAATTATACATTCAAGATAAAAGAACACAAATGGAGCCTAAGTGGGAAAACCACAAAGGAAGTGACAAGCACGTGATAAGTAAGTTGCTGAAAAACAATGACTAAAAAGAAAAAAGAATGTAATCAAAGAGACTTATCTACACAGGTCAAGCCAGACACAAAGCAATGACATCATTAAAGTTCTAAAAGGAAAAAAAAGCAATCTAGAATTATATACCCAGAGAAAATACACTTCAAAAATGAAGTTAAATAAAGACTTCGTCAGACAAACAAAAGCCAGAGAGTATTTATCACTCACAGACCTGCATTACAAATAATAATAGTAATGAGTTCTTTAGGGGGAATACAAATGTTTCTGGATGAATATTTGGATTGGCATAAAGAAATAGAGTCCTGGAAATGAAAAGGAGGTGGGTAAATATAAAAGACACCTTTCTCATCTCCTAAGTTTTATTAAAAGACAACTGACTTCCCTAGCTGGACCTGATAGCTCAATGATGTAAGCAGAAGTCCATCTATATCAAATCACATCACAACCATAGTGAGATATCCCCTCATACCCATTAGGATGGTTACAAAACGAAAAGAAGAAGAAAGAAAATAACAAGTATTTGTGAGGGTGTGGAGAAATTGGTGAGATTGTCAATTGGTGAGAGTATGGTGGTTCCTGAAAAAATTGCGATGGGAATTTCCATATGATGCAGCAATCCCACTTCTCAGTTTATCGAAAAGAATTGAAAGCCAGGTCTCAAAGAGATATTTGCACACCCTTGTTCATAGCAGCATTATTCATAATAGCCAGGAGGTGGGGACAGCCCAAATGTCCATTGGCAGATGGATGGATAAACAAAATGTGGCTTATACATACAATGGAATATTACTCAGCCCCAAAAGGGCAGGAAATTCTGACACATGCTACAACATGGATGAACCTTGAGGACCTTATACTAAGTGAAAGAAACCAATCACAAAAAGACAAATACTGTGTAATCCCATTGTATGAGTTATCTTAAGGAGTCAAATTCATAGAAAAAGAAAGTGGAATGGTGGGTACCAGGGACTGGGAGAGGGGAGAGTAGGGAATTGTTATTTAATGAGTGTAGAGTTTCAGTCTGTAAGATGAAAAGTTCGGGAGATCTATTCTGTGTACATGCTTAACAATATGAATATTGTTAAAACCACTTGACACCATTGTTAACACTACTCAACTATGCAGTTAAAAATGGCTATGGTAAATTTTGTTTTGTGTTTTTTTATCACAATTAAAATATTTAGAACAGATAGTTGATTGTTTAAAGTAGAAATAATAACAATGTGTTATGGAGGTTATAACTGGGAAAAGTAAAATTTATTCACCAAGCTAAAAAATTTGAAGGAGGAACATGGAAATATGCTATTGTAAGGTTCTTAAATTAACTGCGAAGTAATATAATATTATTTGAAGACATATGGTGATAAGTTAAATATACAAATCATTATCTAAAATAAAATAAGTAAAAGTAAACATACATAGATATAGCTAATAAGCCTGTGGTCTAGATAACATGGAATACTAAGTAATATTAAGTAATATTTTACTTAATCAAAACGAAGGCAGAAAAATAAGGAAAAGGAAAAAGAGATGGGACAAATAGAAAACAAATAATGAGATAGTAGACTGAAACCCAACCATA